CAGGGACTGAACTTGGAACTGCCGCCTTGCAGAGCTCTACCACTGTAAGCAGGGGCCCTGGGAGAACCACTAGATGTAGCAGCCTCTGGTTATTTCAGAGGGTGGCCATATTGGTCTGCCAGTGAGAAGAGCTAGATCTGAGCCTGACAAAGGGAGTTTTGACTCTCAAAAGCTTACACCCCGATAGCTTGTTTGTCTCCAAGGGGCTACTGGACTCGAATTCAGCTCTAGCCTTTAACTGTTTGAGTGAGAAATGCCTCATTCATACCTGGTATGGAAAAGATCAGTCTTAAGGGGTGTAACGGGACACATGGAAGAGCTCACACTGAAGCAAGGATGCCGTTATGTCCATTTACATGGAGAATGCATCCCGACAGAGAAATGGAGCCTCCACATACAGGAAGAGTCTATCTCTGAAAACCGGATGCTGATGACACACAACAGGTAAGACCCCAGCATCTGCACACTCAGTTTGGGTTTAAATCCACAATCACTGACTGCATTGCCAAGGAAGGATAAAAATGCTGACATTCCCAGCAGCCCGAGTCCTCGCTTCCTTCAGCTTCAGACATAAGAAACCAGTCGTGCTCCCTTTACATTAAACTCAAAGTATAACAGCGAGCCATTTAAACGGGCAAACCATTTCCATGTCGCCCTGTGGCATAGCTGTGAAATATTGTGCACCACAACCCACCGAGCTTCATATCACATATGAGGCCATCGTGGTAATACAGCTCATTAAAACTACTAAGGACTGCGAGAATCATAAGATTCAGTATATGCCGAAAAGTGTAAGGATCTGTTCCCTGAGTCGACACACAAAGCTGCCTTGAACGGAGACAGGCACTTAAGAACGTAAGAACATAAGAGAAGCCCATGTTGGATCAGGCCAATGGCCCATCCAGTCCAACACTCTGTCACACGGTGGCCAAAAATGCCAGGTGCCATCAGGAGGTCCACCAGTGGGGCCAGGACACTAGAAGCCCTCCCACTGTTGCCCCTCCCCCAAGCATCAAGAATACAGAGCATCACTTGCCCCAGACCGAGAGTTCCTATCTATACCTTGTGGCTAATAGCCACTGATGGATCTCTGCTTCATATGTCTATCTAATTCCCTGTTGACCAGAACTGTACACGGTATTCCAAATGAATAGTCTTGGCTCTACCAAGATCAGTCTTGTCTGTCCTGGCATCCAAGCAAGTCTCCTGGGTCTCCAGGCAGAAGTTGTTTCCATCACCTATTACCTAATCCTTGGAGACGCTGGGGATTGAACCTGGGACTGGAGAGGCCAGGGATTGAACCCAGGACTGGAGGTGCAAGAGATGGAACCCAGGACCAGAGATGCAGGAGACGGAACGTGATCCTTGGAGACGGTGGGGTCGAACCTGGGACCTTCTGCATGCCAACCCTACGCTCCCCAATGAGCCCCAGCCCTCCCCAAAGTCTTGTGACAGTAAGTCCTGGCAACTAAAACTGTGGCACAATTACTACTCACAGGAAACGCAGCCCCAGGGGAAGCATTTTTCTCCCACTGACTTCAGTGAAAGAGTAAAGCAGCTGCTCAGACCTCTCTGGAGGACGTCCACAGGTTTGGTGAAAAGTGCCGTCAAGTCGCAGCCAACTTGTGGCCAACCCCACAGGGTTTTCAAGGCAAGGGACGTTCAGAGATGGTTTGCCATTCCCTGCCTCTGTGTCGCGACCGTGGAATTCCTTAGGGGTCTCCCATCCGAGTACTAACCAGGGCCGGCCCTGCTTAGCTACTGGCTCAGGGCGCAATAGATTTACTTGGAAGCAGGCACTTCTCAGTGACCTGTACTTTCTCCTAAGCACGTCCAGGATTGCAATCTTTTCAAAAGTGTTTTGACTTTGGGCTGGCCCCTACGCTTACCAAGAAACACCCATGCCAATGCTGCAAGCCACAGAGGCAGACAGGAGCATCCTGGAGCAAACCCCCTCCCTGCCACCCCCAAAGTACCCCCTGGCATTTTGCAAATGCCAACCTCCCCGCCTAGGTGGGAGAATGCGCCGAAGACTGTGCTGCAGGTTTCTGCTCCACCATCTCCTCCTGGCACCGGCCAGACCGATGCGTAGACCTCCGATCCATGGCCCCGAAAGCCAAACTCCCGCACAAACACGGTCTTTTCCCTTTTTCCTAGCGCCCTGCTTTGGCAACGGAGGGAGGGAGGGAGGGAGGCTTGACTGGCATTGTCGAGGCATTTAAGCAAATCAATTACTGACGACCGACGTCTCCACACACCTCTCCCATTATTTACAGCTCCTTCTCCTCCAGGAATGGGAGGGTTTCATTCCCCCGGGAGGCGGGATCCTCCCCCCCCCCAGAGCGGCGCTGCCAACTTGCCCACCAGGGAAACACCTGCCTGGTTTCCCCCTCCCTCCCAAGGTTGGCGAGGGTGACTGTTCATGCCCACCATCATCATAAAGCCTATCGACGCTTGGGGAATTACCGCCCCCGCGCCATTAATACCGGGGCGTTCCAAAGGCACCCCCCCGTTCCAACCCTTCGACCTTGACCCCCTCGCCTTTGCTTTTTTGAAAAAAAATCAGATGAATAAATTGGAGGGGGGGGCGCTTGCATAGATTCTCCCGGGCCCTACTTTCTCATCTCCCCCCCACCACCCCGCAATTTTCTTTTTTTAAAAACGTGACAACCGATGCGCAGAACGATGGAAAAAAGGGAAGATGCCGCTGCTGGCCCCCCCATCACCCCGGGGGGCTTTTGCAAGGTTGTCTCTCTCT